ATGGAAGGGTCGCTATCTTGTTGTTCCTTATCTCTCTTTCCCATTAGGTGGCTGGAATGTGACATTGCCTGAGAACTCATATGTCTTGGGCCTCCCAACTTTGCTCTTTCACAAATAACGCCATCCATCCTTCTGCAACATTTGTGTTGCCATGTATGGACCAAATGGATAGATACTTAAAGCTGGTCATGTGTCCCTTTAACCAAGGCTTTGTTTGGATGCGACATTCGAATACGTATTATGTTTATATACTTTTGTCATTATTTGTTGTTGAAATTTGATGCTTCCATTTTACAAAAAAATTTATTCATTTGTGTGGGTGTTGTTCATTGTTCTATTAGATGTCAATTCAGATTTAAGTATTCAGGTGTCCATATATATACATGTTCATGTGTATCGTATTTCAGAATATGCAGCTTTAGGAATTTTGCCGACATCAAGAACATTTCAAAAACTAAATAAATAGATAAATTAGATAGTGGTTACTGTCTGAAAGCTATATGCATGACATTTTAATGGCGACTTAAATTGAAAACTAACTAATTTTAGAGTCATGTATAATAATGATCGACTAGAAGAATATAAAAAATAAACGGTTTGGATCATAATATTACATTGCAGACGGAATGTCCTGCATTAGCTTATATAGACACACTCAATGACTAAATTGGATAGATTAAAAATACATAATTAAATCGGCGAATCGAATAAAATACAAGGATAAAAAATTAATGAGTATATTTAATCCTAAGTAATAAATGAACAATTTCGACAAAATAATAGTGAAATTCATTTCTGGAGAAGACTTGGCCAGGAAGCATAATTAATTTCCACCACTGTTTGTACGAAGTGAAAGCTTCCTTGAGGGTACATATGTTACCAGGTAAAGTTATGTCTAATAATTTTACTGTGCCCGTGTACTAGCTAGCTATATAAGATACAGTTGGAGAAATACAAGCAGATCAAATCAAAACGTTTTTTGGTAAACTATTTTAACTTTAACCCCAGTAAGTGCTACCTGGGTCCGCAGACAAAGCACAGATTTGGGTAAATTAGTAAACTTATTGTAGCTGTACGTATTGAATGGTTATGCTTGTGGGTGTTAGATATGCATGTCCCCGGCCACGTGTCGTGTGCCTATTAGTTTCTAATCCAAAATTCCTGAGGTTGAGTGCAGAGGATTCGAGCTTGGGATGATGATGAAATATATGAAGAAGGAAAAGACTAGCAGACATTCCTATTTGCCCTCGGATCACATGTGACTTCCACATTCTAAGTTACAAAACCAAATTTAATGTTTGGAAAGAGATATTTAATTTGGCATGCAGAAGCAAACAGAAGGCAGGAATATAATGGCAATGCAAGAAATCCAATGCAAGTTGGGAATGAAAACATGAAAGCAGAGGAGCCCCACCATATGCATTTCATGAATTTCTCTCTTTATGGTGGGCTTCTGAAATGGTTGAAAGCGTATTTAACAATAAAAAAACGTTTCGAATTGCATTTAGCAGAGAAATTTAAAGGTGGTTATGGGTCATAATGAAGCACTTGGATTAAAAAAAATTCGACGTTTTTATAAACAGAAGTGCTTCTTATAGAAACAACTCGAAAGTGAAATGCAATAATACTCACAAAAAAAAAAAAAGGCAAGCCAATTGGGGCGGGACCATATATCAAACACACATATATAACATGCACATATGAGACTAAGTCTATGACCATGATGGATGATGGTGGGCTTTATTTTTTTTCTCTACTTGTAAGACCCTTAACTGTCATTATAAGGATGGATGTTTGAACTCCTTGAATTAAAAGCTTGATGGGTATGATATCATTGTTGTCTGAGACTTAGGAGGGGTTTGGACCACAAAAGGGCATCTTTTTCAGATGTTGCATTAACAATGTGGGGGCATCTTTTAATTTTGTGATATCCTTGGTCCCTTTCCCTTTTGATTTATAAATTGATATGTCATGTTGTTTTTGGCTATGATTCCGTAGGCTCGAGCACAGATATTATTGTGAGGAATTAACTTTGTGAATTGGAACCCTACATCTGCTCCCTGTATAATTAGTGAGGGTTAAGGGTTAAATGGTGTTGTGAAATTTCATGTAAATTGAATTCACATAGATATTTCTCAATATATGAAAATTTTGTTTGGCACAGATGTGGATTAAGTCAGTAGGTCAAGATAATATGTTTGTCGCTTTACACCCAGTTCGATTCTTCTCCCCAAACATTAGAGTAGTTAGAATTTGTAAAATAAAAAAATTAAAATTGCTTATCTAATAAATTTCCTTGTAAATGAATAAATCTGTGCCTTATTGTAATATAGGATAGAAGTAGATGTTCCTTGCCATGATTTTGAAAAAATGATTAGAATGTGGATGATAAGGTCTCAATTCAGTTAAGATTGACCATTTTCAAAACAAAATGATATGGAAAAGAATATAAAATTGAATATGAAATTATTAAATTAAAATATATATATATATATATCAGAGAGCTTCCATTGAGGGATCCCTCAAATCCCAAACCCATCCTCATTTAATAGGTTTCGGGGAATCCCCGTTCCCATCGAGGGATTATACCCGCCCTGAATCCCCCTTTTTTTTTTTTTTTTTCCCTCAGGTTTAAATGAAACGACTCTATTTATTTATTTAAATATAAACATATATATTTTCGGGTCGAGTTCGGGGATGGGGACGCCAATACCATCCCTTACCCATATCCGTTGGGGATTTTTCAAGTTCAGGAATTCCCGTACCCAATACCCATTTGGCCCAGAAATGGGGACCCACCCAGCGGGGATTTTTGCCATTCCTAATAATAGCCGGCATATTGTTTATACGTATCAAGTTAGAGTATTTTTACTTGTACTTGGCATGAAACTGAATTGAACACACATAAAGAATTCGGAGCAATAAGTCCACACCACACGACTTTTAATCACCTAAGCTGTTAAGAGTAAATGAAGTACAAAGTTAAAAAGTTTATATATCTTAATTACACGTACAACAATTCATAATTACACATGTTTGGTTGTCTCAATACATTCATAATAAAGGGGAGAGAGAGAGAGAGAGAGAGAGAGAGAGAGAGAGAGAGAGAGGTTATTTAATTTCAAAATTTTCTACCTTGTTTGAGTTTGACATTAATTTGTCACAGCCATGGAATCTGAATTTGGTAGTTGTAACGGGGATCACATGATTAATGTTCCCCCCATTTACTTCAATCACCGGAAAATTGGTCCACATCTTTAAATTAAGATGTTGACATAAGAGAACATTTTCAACCATCTTTTCCCATTTATTTTCGTTTTAAATTCAGAAGTTCAAGCAAAAGGAAAAGAAAATGTGTAAGAAAGTGAAGTCAGTAATTAATGAAACTAGACATCCATTGTAATATTTAGTTGGGTAATGCCACATTTTTCATCATCTTCCAAATTGTTTGCTGACTAGAATTTCATTTTATTTTTTAGAAAAGATGATAGATTGCATTCATAATTTAGGTATAAAAGTTGTCAATGACCAAGGCCAATACAAATACAAATAACTGCATAAAACTCTTACAGTGCGTTTGGATTAGGAAATTTAAAAGTACAAAGAATTTCTTAAATGATGAAATTTAAAATGACGGAAATTAATGTTCTAGAATTTGTAAAGTTTATGGTTTGGATGACGGATTTAAAACACGAAATTTAACATTTATTTGTAAAGTTATCTTTTTTTTAAACTCAATCTCTCTTGGGATTTTAGAAATGACGACTTTTAGATAGAATTTAAAGTTAGGATTTATGATCTCCAAATTCCATGTTTTTTCCCATGCGGAATTTCTAAATTTCTATGTTTTTTTTTATCAAAACACGGGAATTAGTTCATGTCAATTTAGAAATTTTGAGTTTTGTCAAAATCCCAAATTTATTTCCCTCGTCCAAACGCACCGTTAAAAAAGTTTTGATCTGTTCTTGGAATTTAATATGGCAACTTGGCTGTTCTTTCATGTTTGCAGTTGTTGAATGGTGTACTTGTCTGAGCAACACCACATGTAGATGAGAGAGAGATGAGAGAGAAGTTTTAAGTCCTCCATGCATTTGGTAGGCCATAGTACTTGGCTTAATTGATCATAACCAGAGCTAGGTTTCTGGCAATTAATTTTGAATTCTCAAAGTGGTCCTAAATCATGTACTCTCTAGGTCTTGTGTTTTTATCTTCTTTTGCACCTCTTCCTCCACACATAAACGGTAAACCTGCTTGACTTTTCCTTCCAATGTTAAGTTGTGTGGGGCCCTTGATGGCCACTGCCTCATACAAAAGCTTTGCTACCCAAATATATAACGCACAAAAGTATCAAACATATTGAATCAAATAAAGTACTTGCCTCCTAATTTAGTTACCTATAAATAGCATTTGTGTTTGAGGACTCTTTTCTTTTTTTCGCAAGAGATTTATTTGTTTACTTGAAAAAGGAACCAACAATTGTGGCCAATTCAATTCGCACATTCTCATCTGCCACGTCTAATCTAAGACCTAATTCAGTTCAATCACACGAGGCAGCTAAGGTCTGGTGGTATTAATGTGTTGGATTGGGCAATCCCATCCATCATTATTAGCATTCTAGGGCATCCTAAGAAATTTGTACAACTAACTCTGTATATTTCCATTACAAATTTTAACTAATACATGAATTATTGGAGAAAACTGATCCACATGTGAGTGAGAGAGAGAGAGAGAGAGAGAGAGAGAGAGAGAGAGAGAGAGAGAGATGGTGCTGGGGTGGTTGCCGGCCAGCAGCGGTGAGATGCTGGGCCCGGAGGAGATAAGGTGGGTGCTAAGTGTGAGTTGTTTTTTAGGGGAAAATTGTCTTTTCCTTTCTTTTTTTTTTATTTGCTGATTGGGCTTAGAATTTTCTTGGGTTTGTTTGAATATAGGCTCTCTTATTCATTCTTCATGTAGTGTCACTACATCAAACAATTTGATCAAGCACAAACAAGCTATGTTTTAAAAAACCCATATCTCAGCTGGATATTATTTCATACCCAGTAAAAAATGAAACTCTTCAGTATATTACCCGAAAATGCATCACAGAATAAACGAGAAAAAAGAACACTCAAAACCATGCACATGTTTTTTCTTTCCTGGCATAAAACACAGAAGAAAAAAAGTACAAGTTATTCATCCTTTATCCCATTTAAGGGTTGTAAATCTCAGATACCTGATATGTGGTACTTGCAAAAAGGCGTTCTGAATACTTATACAGCACTAACGCACTTCGTAATTATGGCATTACTCTGTTGTCCTAGGCATACTATGAGGAAATTCAAGCAGCAATGGATGAGTTTCTCTCGTTGAGAATGCGGTAGTAAGTGTCGTGATCTGATGTGTCTCTGAATCCGGGAATGAAATCCGAAAAGAATCTAAGGACTGCAGCTAAATGTTGCAAGTCATTGGAGGTAAATGCTGACTCGAGAAACAATGAAGGTCGTACGGTACTGACCTGAAATTTTTACAAATACAGTGTTAGGCATTCTGAAATAGTGTGAGAAAATTAATACCTTATCCTTCAACATAATATCGTCAGGAAAAGAATTTGGCATGGCATGGAAAGAATTTCATCAAAGAATTGCTAAATAGATAAACACATCCTAAAGCATTAGAAAAACATTGAAAGATGCAATAAGTGAAAAATAAAAGGAAAAAAGGGTATAGAGTGCGGAAAATGATGCAGCAATGTCGATAACATCTTCATGTATTTTCAAGAAAGCATATCAGCTTTCTACTGGTCCAAATAAGGGAAACTTTGTGGCATCAATCACTAAACACAGCATAATAGGTTTAGCAGTCTCCGCAGCATGAGGGAGTGGACAGAAAACACAGCAACAGACAGTAAAAATAAAGTGAAATGCACAACCAACAGAAAATGTACGGGAATTATAAATCCTTTCTTTCCTCGGATTCCAAGGTGGGAATTACCTTGTATTTCCGTGCATAGCGTAATGCTTCAAGGTAATATCCATCTTGCACTAGTAACAGTACATAGTCATGATGTAAAGAAAGCTGCCTCAGCATATCCAAACCCAACTTCCTTGTTAGGGAGTGCTGACGGCCAGACTCTAGGAGTTGCATTGCTACTTCTCTAGAAGGTTCAAGAATCTGTTATGAAACAGTTTTCACCGTGAACACCAGATCAAGCATAAACAGCACACTGTTGCAACTTGCAAGCACACGTTTCTAATAGGCATGTGTTCAGATACCTTGTTTAAGACAAACTGCCCAAGTTCTGCATATCGCTCACTGCGTGATAGTAATTGTATGGTCAGGACATAGAGATTAGGATGGACTTCAACCTTTTCCAAATTAGCGCTGCAAAATAATAACAAATTAATAAAGTTAAGAACCATGATCATTCCCTAATTCTTTCAAATATGAAGTACTTAATTTCACATACATCACAGGAAAACTAATATTTTTGAGACATTTTTAAAGCTGGTTTTGGTCCAGGTAAGCTAGCACATCAGGCTGAACCAAGCCAGCAAATCAGAGCTTGATATCAACCTGGTTCATAAGGCATTAATGTTTTCTCATCTTTTTTTTTTCTATAATATTTTGAAGTTATTCTTAGACTTTTGTAAATTTATAACTTATGAACAAGTTTTAATTATTAATAGAAGTATTCGTCAAAATACTTGACAAACTGATGTGCAAACACTAGGGAAAAGAGAATATAGAGAAAGTGAAAAAAGAGTTGGAGGAGCTAGAAGACGAAGAACAAGAGGGATGAAACTATGGTTTCAATATCCAACAATCAAGTCTGCCAAAAGAGCAGTAATAGTTAAAGAATAAATCTACCTCAAGCCAGGGGAAAAGAAGAAAGAAAGAAAAAGTCTTCTTAGGATCTTCATTATCCATTAAAAACTTTTTATACATATTTATATGATGTGTGCCTTTTCAGGCCATTTTACAGTTATACAACATCAACCTATTTCAGAAACAATCAACCAATTGGTCAAACACCAGGTGGAGTACAATCAAATGCAAGTTACACATATTAACTGATACAATAACTTAGGTTAACATGCTACGCGCTCGCTCAGATACAAGGGCAAGATTGTGCAAATTCATGATGAGCCTTGCTAAAAGTGTACATGACAGAGAATAAATACCCAGCATGACTTTGCATTCAAGGCCCCGATCATTTAAAGATTCATAAATATATGCCATACCTGCGAAGAAACTCAACAATGATGGCAACCAAGTAAGAAGGTTCTCCAATCATCTCTTCCTCAACAGGAGCAAACACAAAACTGTACATTTCATCAGATGAAATTACTGGAGAGGCAGGTTGGGACTCTTGCTGCTCCAAAACATTAGCATCCAATGGGCTGTTGCCCGATTTGAGAGATGAAGACCGAACTTCACCACCAGAAGTTTCAGCACCCATTAACTTCCCCCTGGCCAATTTACCATCAAACAATTGAACGTTATCTGAAGTGGTCCTTGGGGGTTCAAAGCTTACATTATCCTCAGAGTCGGAATCTGAAAAGTTTAAAAATCTATTCGGCGATTCACTGTCCACTCCAGCCGCAGATTCGTGTTTAATGGATTTTCCAACTGCATCCACTCTACTTGCAGATACATCAGCACTGGACCTAGGGCCACTCGTCTGTGGCACAATAGAAGGTGATGTTTTCCCAGACTTTATCCCCTTAATATAGGTGCCTGTCTTAACAGAGTGGGAGTAGGAGGAAACTAAAACATCTATTGCCCGGGAAACTGTAGACACAGGTCTCCGTTCTAGAATAACAGTACGCGCTATTGACAAGCACAATTGTTTAGCCTGAAAAGGAAATGGAATAAAGTTATCGCCAATAGTCATTAAGAAGTTCAGCCTCAAGAAAGGCAATGCAGCACCATAAGAACGCAAAACCACTCCACTAGATGTTACAGATCATAAAGGTTTAACCGCATCGTAGATAGGAAAATGGTTTTGTAATAATGAGCGACCCAAAAAATATACTAAAAAAAAAATCATTAAATTGCATGCTCTAAGCAGTTGCCCCTTACAAAAAAGAAAGAAAAATCAAGTAAATAATGAGCATACCAAGAAACAAATAATAAATTCTACCTTATTGGCTTCCAACTTCCGCCGCTGCAAGAATTCAAGTACTGATGGTACTTCTGAGCTACTGGCAGAAATTGCCTACAGGAAGAGAGAAAGAGGGATTATGCAAGAAAAGATTTACTTTTCTTATTCACAATTAATGCCAGAAGAACAATCATACTAACAAATTATGCAAAAGAAAATGAAAAGGCTTGCCTCCAAATCTAAATGAATCTTCCACAAAAGTTGATTAACAACATCACATATGAGGTCAGGAACAAGAAAACTCCAGTCATCTCCATAGACGATTGCTTCATGGTCACTCATAACATTAACTTCTGAACTTTCAGTATCTTCCCTATTTGGTCGCAGGGAAGAAGAATTGGACCTGGGGAAACCCCTGAATAGTAGAGGAAGTGGGGCCGATATGGGTGCCCGAGAATCTGCAAATATATCATACAGTATAACAACCTTCGCATCCACTTGATGCACAAGCAGTACATTATCAACCACACTCACAGCAACCTTGCTTGAATAAATTGGCAAAGAACCCTGCAAAGTACATACAAACATCATTTGCATAGAATAAGTATACACCTGAGTAAATGTGAAAAGTGACCGCATGAAGCCAAGGTGTACACATAAATGCACTGAAACTGTAGTGATCACACGAAGCCATGATTTACTCATAAAACCACCAAAACTCTCTGTCACAAACATCAATCCCCCCATAGTTTACAGGAGTTAACTCCAATAACCCAACAATGAGATCCAAAATTACCAAGAAAAATCTTTTCAAATCCATCAATCCAAGAGCTATAGGCCCCTTTTATTTATTTACGCTGATAGTTGAGAAGTGTGAGTAAAAAAAATATATATATATATATATATATATTGACAAGGAGGCCAACCCCAAGTATACAAGAAGCATAAACACAAAGATAACCAATGGGAAATAATATAAAGCAGGATTTTTTAGGATTGACAGTCTACACTCATGTAATTTGTCTCTTCATCAATTTAAATTCATACCCATGCATGTTCCTCAAGGAATTTAGTCATGCAAGCATCCTTAATTCAAATACCAATAAAATAGACACTAAAATACTTATCAAGAAAAACAAAATAGAAAAGGTCCAAGATATATTGGAGTATCTGAGATGTATCAGTACAATATGAATTAAAGACCCTTGGATAACATATCCATGCTACATAACCTGTGGCCAATTGGTTGACATTTCTGTTAAGATTTCAGGGAAAGGGACCAGCGGCCCACTACTACCAACACCGATTTTGTTCCCAACTTAACCACCTGCAAAGCCCAGCAGGTGTGGGTTTTTATCACAAAAGACCTCTGTGTTATTAGTAGTGGAACCACTCACTTAAATATTGTATTTTATTTTGTCAAGTTTCTAATGTTTTTACATTCTTCAACAATTTCAACTTAAGGGGATCAAAAGATTCTAATAGACAGTTCGATCACAAAATTTACCTGTTGTACAACCACATCACGGTAAAACCTATAAGAATGAAGGAGCATTGCAATCCTATCAACTTGCAGGCAGTATATTCTACCATAGCTGAACAATGAAAGACAATATATAAGCCTTGATTTTGGTTGGCAAATTAAATCTAGCAAAAAGAAAACTGCAAGAGGAACCTACATAGTGGCTATAAAAATATCTTCAGCAGCAAGGACAGGTTTACTGTTAGCCTCAGATTTAGCCATTGCCATCTCAAACTTTGGCAGACGAATAATCCCTGCAGATGAGAGCTACCCAGACGAAGTAGCAAATCTGTCAAGACTAAAATAATAGAGCGCACTGAATGGCATACATGCAAATATATCAATAATCATGTTAAGCAAAATAATTATATCAGGACTACATGAGAAGCCACACTAACAGATGTTTCACGCAGAAAGAATCAAACATTTTGTTCCAGAAACTGTGAAATGATTCTTAGTTCAATCTATAAAATACTTTTCAGCAACGCAAAGCACAGAGGAAAATTATCATAATGATCATATCAATTGCTTGCATATAATTGTATGAACTACAAGGGCATCAAAAAGATTGTAACAGTATAATCACTGCTGTATTTTGCATTAAGAAAGTAAACATTGCAAGTTGATGAGTGCTAACTATGAAAAGCAATTCAACTTCCTAAAACCATATAGTCCAAAATAGAAAAAAATTGGAAATTCTTCCACTTTTCTTTAACAATGGAAAAAAATTAATAAATACTTTCCTGTGTATTACAACAGCAATAGTTCATAGAAGTAATTTACAGCAAAAGAGCAAACTGAAAGGCTTAAAAAAGAAAAACATTAACATAATGAGTGCTACACATACCTGAAAACCATTGAAGATTTTGCACTGCATTCCTGAAGCAAGAAGAACCAAGCGACTTTCATGTGTGTAAACATACCAACTCACATGTAATTTCCTTGTCTCAACCAATTGGAGTGATCTTGACTCAGAATTGTAAGCAAACAAGTCCAGCCCACTGAGATTGAACTCCATTTTAGCAAAATGAAAGAAAGGCAAAACCTTGGTGCAAAAGAATGTGGTTGAAACAAAGAAAAGAGTAACAAAAAATGTTATTGTAAAGATTTTGAAACTTTTCACAGATATCCTATCCCTCTTTAACTCAAGCTTTGGTACAACACCAGATCCCACACCCCACCCTCCACCTAAAAATCCTTTGCATGGAGCCACAACAAAGACAAAGCTTCCTAACTATGTAACAAAATGGAGCGCATTCTACCCCATAATGAGCGCACGCTTTGAGTTTGAAAAAAGCAATTGTATCCAAATAACATCTCAATAAAGAGTCATTTAAAATTTAAAAAAAAAACCCCAGAAATGACCCAATTGTAATCTCTTTAAGGACACTGCCACTTGGTTAATAATGCTACTTGAAAAGGTAACAGTTTAACTTCTCAAGAACAGACCTCCTTTATCATGTGACACAAGTGGAGAGAAGACTGGCCATAACAATAACCTGCTCTCTCTGCTTGCATCAAAACAATCCTTCACCTCCAAACTATCAGAGCCCACTTACCCAGTGTTGGTCCTACTTAACACAGGATCCTAGGAGAAGAGGTCCAGATATGATCCTATCCGTCAACATTTTAGTGGCCCTCAATAATTTGTCAATTTAGAAAGATTAGGTTTGCCTATCATGTATGCGTGTGTGTGTATATATATATATATCATAACTTTCCTCTTTATGTATGAAGCTTCCTAGACTTACAGCAGATATCAGCACCACAAATGAAGTACATTTTGGCAACATCACCCAATTTGTTTTAAATGGTTCCTATGTGCTTAACAAAAAGAATTGCATCCCTGGACGTCTATAAATAAGTGGTCTTTAACTAGTTTACTTGTCCTCACAACTGGGTAAACTACTAAGGTATGATCGATCTGCATGACATGATCATGACAAAAATTCTTGTGATGGCTGAAGCAGAACCAAAACCATGAATGACCATCCAGTCATCAGGATACTATAATTTTCTCTCAAATAATATATGCCAATTCGATATATCAATGATCCAAGTTCAAGTGAACAGATGGATAAGACTATGTTGCACATATATGGATGCAGGGTGCAACCGATACGGTGATACAGCAAATTTAAAAAAACTAGGATACATATATGGCAACAATACGCCAATGAAATACAGAAGATATACGATTCATATAAATTGATTCCTTTTTCATGCATAGCGTTAATGTTTCATCAATTACCAAATACAAAATAAATAAATAACAGAAAATCCAGCATTATAGACAAAAATTGCAAAATAACTCATTCCCGTATCTTGGCTGTATCCTGACCGAACACTATGCATATCGGTTGCCTATCCTTACCGTATCCAAATTTCAAAGCCGTCAACATTAAGCAATACACATTTGGAGTATTTGATATGTATGCAGCCTTTTAGGGGTGCATCCATATCTGACAGTCCATATTTAAATTTTTGGGAATATCTGTGGTTCACAGAGTATGATGGCAAACTAAGCCCTTTTACATTAAAAATTTTTTTTTGCTACAAATCCAACCAAAAACTTAATAGATACAGGATATACAAATAAATACACAATTCAAGTAGTATAATTCATTCTTTAATATTCATATTAAACACGTGGAAAAACATATCCTTACCTGGTCTTTACAAATACAATGTCACACATTGGACAATCTGTCCAAAAAAATCCCAGTATGCTCTCTGACTCTGACCTGCACCTCTGACTAAAAGTTTCCCCACTTCCTCTATCCCAAAACTGTATCTCATGATCAGATCTTTGGACTGCTATAAACTTTGCATCTAACGAATATCGAATGGATAAGATGGGCCCTTCACTAATTGAATCAGAGGTAGGAGTAACCACAGGATCAAAAGGAACAGTTTTCCAACAGAAGACCTACATAGAACAAAACCGGAAAAAACACCATTCAGATCAAATTGGAATGGAAGACTTAAAGAATTGGAAACATTGAAGTACAAATATCATATTACCTGATCTGATGTTGGGGAAAGCAGCAGCTTATTGCCATCATCATAAAATAAACCCCTTGATCCAGCTACACTGCATCTTAGGGGCAGATATGGAATATAAACATGTGAAAGAGCCCCAGACCCACTCAAACCAATACTAGACTGTGAACTTGATGCTTTTCCAGACATCTTGATTTTCAGACTTTTGAAGAGTTATTGCAGGGTTTAGCAAGTACTGCTGCTGATAATCCTAAACCAGCCTCAACGCTATAAAACAAAAAAATAATAAGGATAGACAAAGAAAGACATGAAGAACAGATACTCTAAAGGATCATGTTAGTGGAACAGTAAGAAAGTTAACAAGACTTTTCTAGATAAATGAAGAACCTTTTTTAGAACAGTTCCAACTACTGTGTCCAAGCACTGAAGAATCACACTAGCCGGTTCAAGCCTTTCCTCTCAGCTATTTAGAAGCAAAAAAGCAGACTCAAAAGCCATTTTCCTCGAACATGACAAATACAAAGCTGCCATACACTGACATATCTACCATTAATTATGAAATCATACCACGGTTTGCATGCAACTCTTTAATGCAAGAAATTCTTTCAAGCACATATCACGTTCAACTTGTGGAACCTTTGCTGCAACACAACCCCCATATTCTTTTGCCTACAAGGAAGAGATAAATTTTAAATTATGCACAATGCACCGTGCAGATTCCAAGGTTTTGTCTATGGGCAGCTCCTAGAGAATATCATTTAAACCATCTGCATATTTTTTTTTTCACCTATACATAATAACCAAAGAACGAAATAGTGTATTATACACATAGTCTGTCTTCTTCTAATGAACATGATGTCAAAGTTCAGTAACTCGATTTCTTCTTTCACCAATATCTCCCCGTAGTCCACATGATAAGAATACATCTATGCAACATTAAAATTACTTATTCGATTCCACAACATAATCTCTCCAGTCTATAGTCCACTCTTTAACAATTCCATTTAATCCAATTAAGTAGAACTCTACACAATGTTAACATTTTAAATTATATATCATACTCTATTCTTTAACAATTCCATTTAATCAGATTACGCAGAAACTTCCCACGCATCCAAAAACCTAAGGCCACATCTTCTCGACCCAAATTTAAAACCTTGTTTAAATTCCCAGGTACAAGTCTTTGTACAGCTCCTCCCAATCTCTTACTATCGTAAACTTAAATCAAATATCCCGAATCAACAACTCAACCACAAAACCATCAAAGAACATGCAAAATACACCTTCTTGGATCAAAATTTATTCTCAGACCACAAAAAGAAGATGCATCAAAATTCATTCCCGTATACAATTTAATCAAAATTGACCAAAAGACAGAGACAAGTACGAACCTGTGCTGCACAAGTCACTAAAATGCGTTTAAGGGTGGATGTAGAGTTCCTCTCTTTCATATCCACAGTACTGCGAAAAATTAAACACGATTGATAATACGAAAAAGAAAAAGAAAAACTCGAAGCATTGAAAATGCACGAGCTGAGCTAACAATGTACTAAATAACATCAATCAATAATTCGAAATCCTCAATTAAACCATAAATTCACTTCGTTCTAATTGATTTTTCCAATTTACGCAAAATTTCCCAAGAAGAGGAAGAAAAAGGAAGAGGGAAAAGAAGTTAACTGGTAAATTGACCATCGGGAGTTTTTGGGTGATTGTACAGACGATTAACAGAGAAGGCGAAGATTTCAGAGACTCGGACTGTGACTGTGTTTTAGGAACGGGAAGGAAGGTACCGAACAACCTAACAGTCGTGTCAGGCGTCAACGAACTGCGGGTTTGTTGTGCTGATTCACTGGTGGTTCATGGACTCATCACAGGCGGCCCAGTCGACTGCCACGTGGTCGGTGGGCTGCATCGCTATAATCTTTAGCTGGAATTAGGTGGGCTTTTGGTTAGATAATCGTCAACCGGCCCATTTCTCCAGCCCACCGCACTTGTACAGTTGCTCAATCCTTCGTGTATTTGTAAGTGGTTCCTACCAGTACTACCGGATCCGGTACAGCGGACCTCACGCCAATCGATTGGTGACCGATTAACATGACTTATAATTGAGTAACGAATTTTGAGCTCAAATGATTAAAAGCATTTACCTCTTTAATTTGCACATGTCTCTAATCGGACATCCAATACTCTATCATTCGTGAAAATACTCTTTTTATTTTCTAAATCGGCCACCATGAGGTAGAGGAAGTGGAGCTTTCAACACAAAATAAAAGACAGCTCTTTCCTAGGTGGTAAATTTATGTTGTGGCCCAACATGAAGATGAAGCAGAGCTTCCAACAACAAATTAAACGTAGCTCCTTCCTAGAGGAGAAAAGCAAAAGTTGGATGCTGCTGTCTGATTTTGGCTTTTTTCGGGTGCATGGAATGATGGAACATAGTTTAATAAGAATCCTATGATGGGAAAGAGAATAAAATATTAAAACATTTTTTAAAAAAAGGAAAAGAAAATGTAAAGCATCCCCAGGAAAAAAGAAAAAAAAACTTTAGTTTCAATGAGTGGCTGGTTGACACTGGAAAGGCTTTTGGGAGTAGATAGAACAATGCCATTACAAAGCCTTTCATTTAAACCATAAAGAAATCCAATGTGGAAGTCATATATAACCAACATGTTAAATTTTAGAGATACGGATCAGTGACTTTCTACTAACAACACCGATATTGTCTCTAACTTAATCACCTATAAAGCTCAGTAGGTGTAAGTTTTTATTACAAAAGGCCTCGGTGATATTAGTAGTGGAACCAATTATTATATCTTGTATTTTATTTAGTCAAGTTTTCTGACGTGGGACTTATATTCTTCAACACAACAAAGTTTATTCTATAAGGTTGATGGTGATTTTGGAGGAATTCAATCCTTGGGTGGGAGGTGGGAGGTGGTATTCTAATTTATAGAGAACTAACCCATTAGGATTTTATCTTTTTACCTATTATATCCTCACACAATCTTAAAAATTCCAAATTTGTCGTATACTTTAACCCAACAACGAGGACATTTTAGTAATTAGTACCACTCCTACTCCAATTCCACATGGTTTAGTAAACAACTTTAATATGAATCCGGAATCTAGCTCTCCTTAATTCATATGGTTTCGTTAACAACTTCAATAAAAATCCGAAATCTAATTCTCCTCAATCCAACTCCTCCTCGATTCAATTCAATTCTTCCTAATTCAATTATAGATTAATAAACATGTCATTAGTGCATTTTGTATTTCGACTACGAAATAATTTTTAAACACACACTCACCCAACATAATTCATAATGGCAGCTAATATATTAAGTTGTCATTATTAATTTAATCTGCAGCCATCATTATTAATTATTCCATCCACCCTTTATTAAAGATTCTTAATCAAACATTGAAGGCATATACAATTTCTTCCTCAACTACAACAACTTGCTATTAATTATTTTAAAATGAGACTTTATGTAGAAAGGAGAGATGGTTGACATCTCCTTCTCCTCTAACATAATCGAGAAAGATGGTTGGCCTTATGTGTTGACCCCAGAATTTTTTTTTTCCTAGTTTCTTTTTGTATTTATACCTTTTGGTGTTTAACACAAAAAAGACACCTTTTTTTTTTCTTTTTTTTTTTAAATTCCTTGGTCAGACAATCTTTGTGTATTTTAATCTTCGACTTTACCTAAACCTTTATTTCCAAATACCAAAAAGCCAGCTCATGAAAATCTTGTGTTGGTTAAAGCTTCTCAAAAATGGAATCGAAACCACCAAAAAATAAGTCTTCTTTATGCACCTTTTGTTAACGCGAACGATATTCAAATGTATGAATAACTAGTTTTAACTATTTAAGCTACAAATTTCTTACGTCATTACACATTTAAATACTAAAACGGAATTGGAATATATAAAAGTTTGGATTGAGGCATTCATACTAAAATGTCTAATGTCTATCTTTTAGTGACTCTTTTACGTATTTTTTTAATTTAAATATATATTACTTTATTTTTTAGCAGCGTAAGGAAAATTAAAATATTTATAAAAAAAAATACGTACATACGTGTGTAATGTCAGCCCGCAATGAGGCAGGCTTGAATAAAGTATAGCTTTTCATCCTATAATGAAACGAATTGCACGGGGTGCAGATTCATAATTACCTTTAACCATCTTCTTCCCTTTGTTTTTACATTTGACAGGTTTGTTAGCTTCCGTATGAATTAGGTACGTAGGAGTAGGACGGAGGCAGCTAAGGCCCGCTGGGGGCAGCTGCTCCCACTCAATAATTACTTTGGGATATGTATTTCTATGGAGAAAGTTGTTATGCGTAAAGAAGGCACGTACCACACATACCAACAAGAACAACAATAATCTCTCTCATTTTTTTCCAAACGTCATCGTGCAGATGTGAAGGCTTTACTGATGCAAATTGGGCTGGTTTTTATTACGGATATACACTCTACTTCTAAATACTTCAAAAAAACAAAAGGTCGTTGCAAAATCTAGTGTTGAGGCTGAGTATTGAAGTATGGCTCGTGATGTTTGTGAATCACTTTAGCCTATGAACTTATTGAAAGACTTGGGATTCAAGTATGGGAAAGCTATAAGACTATGTTGCGATAGTAAGATTGCTAATGACATTGCACACAAACATGTGCAACATGACCACCACACTAATGCATGTTGAAATTTCATTGAGGAGAAGTTGGAGGTAGAAATAATTAATTTTTCATTTGTGAAGAGAGAAAATCAACTGATTGATATTTTTACCAAGGCAGTTTTAACGTAGTGTTTTATAACTCACTTGACAAGTTGGGCTCATACGATCCCATACGTCATCCAATAAGAATAATTTGTTTACCTAATAATTAGTTAAGAAATTAGTTTTTGTACTACAATTAGATTAGTTTAGTCATGCTAAATTGCAGTTAGGAGGTTAATTTGTTACTCAGCTTACTTGTTTAAGCTTAGCATATATATATATATATATATATATATAAGTACTTACTTAAGCTTTAAGCATTGTAACAAGATACAAATTTTACTCGATCAATATCAGACTGACCTTGTTCTTCTCTTCAATAATTTATCTCTCTCTCTCTCTCTGATCATCTTCATCTTCTTCTGATTTCTTCTATTGTAGCATAGTGCACATATTAGGTGTGAAAAATAAACACATAAAGGGACGTGTTGAGAGTATCCCATCAAAAGCTTTAGCTTAGTTCGTAAAGGACCTCAGATCTCTCCACGCATTGTCTTGGTCTTCAAGTTTAACTATAATGTTACAATCTTTATTCGTGTAAAAAACAATGCAAGTCAATAATATTAAAAGTTAGTTATTGAGGAAAATTACAAGCCAGTGAAGAAAAAAAAAAAAAAAAAAAAGGTTTAGTTAATCATCATAAAAATTAGGATTGATGATGATACCTTAGATCCCGAGGCTTAAAATTATGATGATGACGATGTTAATGATTAGAATTGAAAAAAAAAAAAAAAAAAAAACATAATCAAATTATCACCACAAGACATTTTTTTAGCAGACAGAATTGTCATGTACTACCAATGATAAATACGTGTCAAACAACGGAGAAGAGTTCACAGGTCTTGACATCCGACATACGACGTCGTTTTCTCGTCTTCGTCTAATTTTCACCTTGGGCCCCACTCCCTCATCGCACACAACTCCTGTGACCTCTTGACTCTCTGAGTCTCTCTCTGCCAACCTCAAATAAATAAATAAATAAATAATGAAAAAAAGAAAAAACATAGCCCCACCACCATTACAGCCAGCCTTTCACTAAGCTACAGCTACTGTACCAAATTCACTCTCTCTCTCTAACCACTTTCTTTCCTTTTTCTTTTCCTTTCTTCCTTCACTTTCTCTCTCTATAACTATAGGTGGTGTATGTCTATGCCGTTTATGTATGTATGAGTCTCGCTTACTCTCTCTGCAAAAAAGTTGGATTGAGAAATGCTGATTGCCTTTGATCAAAGGCATCGCTTCCAAGGCAAGCAAGAAAGGCTCCATTTTATTTATTACAAAATATAGAAAAAAATAGCTCAGGTATCTCTCTCTCTTGGTCCCTCACTCACTCGCACAGAGCAAGCGTCTCTCAGATCCGTCTCTTTCCGACTTCTGAGAAGATCTCTGTGATATAAAGCTCGCTTTCTCCCCACTTTTCTCCATTTGGTGCATGCAATGCTCCTCTGATTGCGTTTGCAGGTAAAGCCTCTGCTGCTCTGTTTAGTTTTTCTGTGCTTTGGAATTTGGGTTAGTTGTATTTGTACTTAATCTCTTTGCTTTTTTCTTAGCAACGTAACAATGGGTTAAGAAGATGTAATTTTCTGCAATTTAATGGGGACTTGTTCTCTTCCTTTACCTAATTTTCTGCATTTTCTCATTGCCTTACTCGTTGTCTGGCTGCTGAGAAAATGAGGAAAGTAGGGTAACAGAGAATTTTGATTTTTGCTACATTTATATATTTGCAAAAAAAAAAAAAAAAAAAAAAAAAAACGGTAAAAAAAAAAAAAAAAAAAAAAAAAAAAAAAAACGGCGAGGTGAGGTAAACTTAACTAATCCAAGGAGTAGTTGGATATAGTTGGTTTTTTAGTATTCCGTTGTTTTGCTCTCAACAATTCGAACTACTACACCCTCCATGCCACAATCATTTTCCCTACTGTTTTCTTGGCAACCAAAAACAGTGCTAGATTATGCTTAGTGCTTAGTGGAAGTACTCAAAAATTGAACTTGTGACTTCAATTTGGTTGATTTTGAACTTATTTCTGGTGTCAGAG